ACTATTTTATTCTCTAGGATCTCTGATTTCAGAAAATATATAATGTTTGGGGGTTTGTGTAATCTTCAGGTCTTAAATGATTTTTTAAAAAAAAGCAAAAACAGCTCTGGCAGCGAAAGGAATAAAGGATAAGCCCGACACTCCCCTTTCCTGACGAGCAGCCAATCGGTGCTCATTATACTGCAAGGCCTCATCCCTCCCTGCTAGTCCCTGGGTGAGGTGCTGGAGACAGGCGGGGGGAGGAGATAAACAGAGCAATGTTAAGAGGTTCCGCACTGCTCTATAGCAGAAATACTGCTACAGGGCGGCACTTGATTTTGCAGTTCTGGGTAGGAGGTGCGCCATCATTTGCAGCCTTGGCTGTCAATCACCGGGTCCCAACCGGTGATTACTAGCCGGCAACCAGTGATCGACAAGTATCTCCGAAGGGGGGCAGAGACCTGTATGTAAACAATACAGATCACTCCCCTGTCGGCTCCTGCACACTGCTTTGAATGGTTCTGCATAGTAGAGCCATACAAAGCAGTATGCTTACAGTGAAGCACACACAGCCCAAGTAGCGAAATAGCACACGGTTAACCTTTTGATCGTCCCACATGTTAACCCCTTCATGCCCAGTGCCAGTAGTACAGTTTCACTTTCCCCAGTGTTAGAATGCCCGCTGCAGTCCCACAGTCCCACTATAAGTTGCTGATTGCCACCATTACTAATAAAAAAAAGAATCCAGTATATATACCGCCATTTGTAAATGCTATGACTTTCACATAAACCAATTAATTTACACGTATTGGGATTTTTTTTTAGCAAAGACATGTAGCAGAATACATTTTGGCTTAAATTTATGACAAAATTTGATTTTTAAATTTTTTTTACTGGACATGTTTAATAGCAAAAAGTCAAAAATATAGTTTTTTTTCTCAAAATTGTCAGACTTTTTTTGTTTATAGCGCAAAAAATAAAAAAATGCAAAGGCAATCAAATACCACCAAACGAAATCTCCATTTGTGGTGAAAAAAGGACATGCATTTCATTTGGGCGCAGGGTTGCATGAACGTACAATTGTCAGTCAAAGTAACGCAGCGGCAGATCACAAAAAATGGCCCGGTCAGGAAGGGGGGTAAATCCTCTGGAGGGCAAGTTTAAAACAGATTTAAATATGGTTTTGGTTAAATTTTCTTTTTTTTTATTAGGACAAGTAGATTGTCATGAGGGACATGTAGATTGGGACACTGATTTAGTCCCTGGAAAGAAGGTTTTTCACAAATTTCCGCACCCTTGCCTCTCCTGTGACTTTTGCCAGGGGCACAGAGCCAGCCATTGCTCTGTGTCTGCACTGCTGGACTGGTGATTGGACCTGCACACTGATCCCTTCCAGTTCCAGCCAGCTGCCCCTGGCCTGCCAGTGCTCTTCTTCTGCATGGTTCCCTCAGCACTTCCTTGCTGGAGGTGTCAGGCAGTGTGCAAGGCAAGCCAAATCACTCTGCCAGACCAGCCGTAGGGGGCTTACTGCCTTTCATCACAGGACAGTGTATCAGTCCCTGACACCAGCAATCTATGGACTCCCGGCTGCAGTCTCCAGAGGTGAGCAGAAGGGGCCCCCCTCAGCCCAGCAGGGAGAATGACTGCCTGGGACTCTTGTGGGGAACAGTATATTATATACACTGACTGACAATACATAGTGACATCCTACATGAAATCGGAAGCTTCCGGCCGGGCCCCCCTGCTAGGTGACAGAGCCTGGACCCCCTACAGGAGGCCCGGTGGTACCCCCTTGTCAGCGGCCCTGTTGACAACTATTTCATGCATGGATCTAACCCCAAGGCATCTACTCAGGGTTTCCCAAAGTTGTGTGGAGTTAGTACCTATGTGGGTATTATAGGTAAGAATCTTAATATATTCTGGCACCTCTAATTTCACTCTTTGGGGTATTTCAATATATATCTTATAGGATATATAAGTCTTTAATTCTGTTGTATGGGGATTTTCTGAGTCTGCTTTAAGTTGGCGGTGTCTACAGATTAGACCTCATCCCATGAGCTCGACAGGTGGGATTGCCAAGCACACATTGCCGTATATGTGAATATAAGGTGATAAATATAATTACTATCTTCGATAATTTATCAATTTTTTTTTCTCTCTCCTCTCTTCTTCCTTTACTCTTTGCCATGATCCAGAATGGGCACTTTTCAAATAGAGATTGGTATTGTCATAACAATAAAAATGTCTATGTCATGTAAACTTTAGGTGAGATTTCTTACAAAAGATGAAACTGTTATATGTTTTCTGATTATAATTCATGTATGTATCTTGTTTCAGCAACTGTATAGTGAGATTCAAGGTCCTGATGAAGCAGGTTTCCCGCGAAATGCGTTGACCACCTATGACTATGATCTCATGAATATGTATATGGCTATACTGGTTGGCTAAGATGTTCACATGTTTTTAAACGTTTTATGGATTTTGTGATACATGGAAAATAAAACAACAATTTTATACTGATATATTTTGTCTGTATCATACCTTCGGAGGTACTTTATTTCAAAATCCCAATTTTACACTTTCTCTAATTTACAGTATATACAGGTATCTACAATGTGTCTATTAAAAGAGAAGGTTGAGTTTTATATGCTACATCTGTCCCCTGCCGCCTTTAAGACCAAGAACTGAGCGATCAAACACTGCTGATCATTGGTCTTCCATCTGCTGTGAGCCAGTGACTGTCAGCCACTGGATCTCTGCTCTGCCCCTGCAACGCTTACTGGAGAGCCAAGCCGAGGAGGGGCAGGAGCATTTGGTTCAGGCTCTCAGAGTTTCTCTGAGAGGCTGAGCCATCTGCCAGTCCAGGCATCTGGGTGGATCCTGACTTTAACCTCTTGGCGTCAATCGAATGCAAACGTGCGGCCTCCTGGTATCTGGGCGTAGACGCCAAGCGGCTGCACATTTGCGTTCTATTAAAAGAAAACATATGTGCTGAGAGCGCGCACCCTGCGCGCTCCCAGCACATGTCCGGTAATCAGGGAAAGGTCCTGATCTCCTCTTTCGATCGGGACCTTTCCCAATCATGTGACCGCCATGACGGTCACATGACCCTAAACCCTGCCATCCCATGGCAGTAACCACCTTCATAAGCCTTTTGTTTTACAGTAGTTTATGTATTAGCTCTAAAAATGACCAGAATATTATTGATATCTACAGCCAAGACATTTTTTCTAGTTTGTGATGGAGTGGGGAAAAGTTTAGGCCCTGTCAAGTTTTATTGTTATTTGGTGCTCCATTACAGATTCCCCTCATATCCTGTTCTGGTGAAACCTTTTTACCAGACAGGAAGTGTGGGACACTCATCAACAGGGAAAAAGAAGACAATAAAAGACCGACATAGGCTTCTACTTAACGTTAAGAAAAAAATCATTTTACCTCTGTATCATTTACTATCTGATAAAACTGTCAATGGAACAGGAAGTAAGGGTAAATCTCTCTAACAGAGCTTGAATCTTGAATCAATTGAAGGGGGACACTTCCTTCCTCTATACAAAGGCAGGTCCTGGACTGTTCTTTTCTTTTCAGTTGTTGAGGATCAGTAGCAACAGCCCTTTTATGGGCAAGGAACTAGCAGCCCTTCCAAAAAGCAGCTTAACTTCTCATAACTACATGCAGGGATTTCTTCTACCAGCTTCACAGCCTGCAAGGACCACCAGCGCTCCTGGCTTCTTGGAAGATCTCCTGGGACAAGGATAATGGATTGAATCCTGTGCTGTCCTTAGAAAGCTTGCTACGTGTGGCAACCTTTCCCCTTGTAGATCCCAGAGAGTGCTGCTGTACTCACTCCGTCCTTGCTCCCTGCTGCTTCAGATCTCGATCCCATTCACACCTCATTGCTGAATGTATCCTCCCGAGCCGGCCCGAGCCCAGCCTGGAGGCCGGCCCCACTAGACCTAGGGGACCCCTCCCAGGCACTGACAGTCTCCTCAGCATTCCATCTTTCACCCATGACTCTCCCAACCTGACTCTCCCATATTTGGGCCAGTCCACTGCTCTACCCAGGGCCTCCAAACCTGGGATAGGCCGGATTCCCATGACACACAGATTAGGTCTCCACCCCCTCCTGCTTACTGACTTCTGGAAGGTTCTATGGTCCTCCAGGGTCAGGAGGAGGCGATAGAGCCACAACTTATTGAGTTATCCAGCTGTCCTGCAATAATCCAATCTCAATCATAGAGTCACACAATCACCTTGAGTTATACACAATAATTTTACCGATACACTACACTATTCTAGTAGCACACTAGAGGGTACTACCGTACATATAATCTAATACTGTATCTATCATTTCAAATCTATAAATCATTTCCAGATAGAAATTGCATTACACCAGCTTCCTTACATTACTAATATATGCAAAATAGGTCAGAGTAAATGGATATTTCTCAGAGAGGATTTTCCCTTCGCTAGTAATTCCTTTAACCACTAGCCTACTGGGCACTTATACCCCCTTCCTGTCCAGGCCAATTTCCAGCTGTCAGCGCTGTCACACTTTGAATGACAATTGCGCGGTCATGCCACACTGTACCCATATGAAATTTTTATCATTTTTTTGTGACAGATAGATCTTTATTTTGGTGGTATTTAATCACCTCTGGGTTTTTATTTTTTTTCTTAAACAAACCAAAAACCACTGAAAATTTTGAAAAAAAAAATGTTTTTTTCTTAGTTTTTGTTATACAATTTTGTAAATAAGTGATTTTTCTCCTTCACTGATGTGCACTAATGAGGCTGCAGTGATGGGCACTGATAGGCTGCACTGATGGACACTGATAGGTGGCACTGATGGGCACTAATGAGGAGGCACTGGTAGGTGGCACTGATGGGCATTGATAGGCATCACTGATGGGCACTGAAAGGCAGCACTGATACATGGCACTGTTAGGTGGCACTGTTAGGCAACACTGATAGGCAGCATTGACGGGCACTGATATGCGGCACTGACTGGAACTGATAGGCGGCACTGACTGGCACTGATAGGTGGCACTGATTGGCATTGATAGGTGGCACTGACTGGCACTGATGGGTGACACTGAAAGGCAGCTCAGATGGGCACTGATATGTGGCATTGATGTGCACTGGTAGGCACTGATATGTGGCATTGATGTGGCACTGATGGGCACTGGCAGGTGGCATGGATGAGCACTGAGAGCTGGCACTGATGGGCACTGACAGGTGGCCCTGCTGGGGCTACACTGATCATCAGAGCACACTGATCATCAGTGCCCTGATGATCAGTGTAGATGTCCCCTCTGAGGAATGCCAATTACCAGCTCTGCTCTCCTCTCGAGCTGGCAGCGTGACAGCTCATGAGGAGAGAAATGTTGATAACCGGCATTTCCCTGTTTGGGTTTCAGCCTACCTTATCTTGGCCATGTTCCTGAGCATTGAACACCTTGTACTTCTGGGCACTCCAGGTAGGTTTCAGTTCTGAAATATGTCAACACTGGAGGATAATGGGTTCCTGATAGCTTCAAGTTTGATTCTTCTCATATCTTTGGCAATTATTTTGTACCTTTTTTTCTCAACACGTTTCTTGTGACCCTTTTGACTATTTGCAACTAAAAGTTTGATGGTTCTGTGATGACGCCTCAATATCTTAGCAATTTCAAGAGTTTCAGAGGGATACAGCAGACTTTAAACATTTTCTGACTTTTCGGAGTCAGTTAAATCTCTTTTTTGGCCCAATAGGGTGTTGATGTCTTTGAGCCACACCCTCCCTCACTACACAAATACACTTCACCTGCTATGCTTAAATCCAATAAGCATTCAAGTTTATACAGCTTGGAATTGAACAATATGCAAAAAAATTAGGACTTGGTCAAAAAATTCACTTGCTTAATAATTGTGCACACAGTGTACAGTATTTATTTTTTTATAATGATAGTTTTTTTGCTTTATTTAGCGTTCTCTTCATATGTCCTTTTTATTTAAATTGCTATGTGTATTTGATCATTATTTGTGTACAGACACGGCATATGACCAGAGACAAGGAGGAGCCTTCCTTGGCCCTGAACTGTCACTCTTGGGGGAACAGGGAAGCTGCAATGCCATTCAACACAAAAAATGTTGGTGGTGCATCCCATTGGTTTGCCTAATTTCCCAGGTTCATCCTGCTCCAATACCTCTCACCCCCCATTTTGACTTTTTTGCATTCATTACCCCCCCCTGTTTTTTTTCTCTGTCTCCCTTTTTGCCTGCCCAGACGTACTTTACTTCAGCCTTTGGTCAGCAGAACCGACCTACGTCCCTTTTTGGTAATGATTACTCTGACAAGGCCACTATTGAGCCACAAGGTCAAATCAACATAACCCTTGTGTAGGCAATCTAACTCCAGTAATGTCTAGCTCTTCACTGTTAGGTATATCTTTCAATGTGGTCACTCCATCCTGCTTTACTGAGTTGTTGACTCTATATGGCTCTGTCTTACATACATCATCTGTATTGCAACCTGACTATGCATATTGTACTGATTGTATATTCGTATTCATACCAACCCTGTTTAATGCTCAATACAGTATGTTGAAATTGTTTTATTTTGATGTTGTAATCTTAAGATGTTACAATAAAGCTTTTATGGAAGAAACAAAAAAATTGTTGGGTGGCCACAGCACCCAAAAAGAGTTGGCACCCAATGTGGACCACACCCCCCTTAGCACTCCACTGTAAACAACAAATAAACATAGTAAAACTCAGACATATAAATGTGGAAAAGTTTTGGCCATGGACATTTTTTTAATTCAGACTTAAACTTTTATCAACTCATAAACCATGACCATAAATTTTGTATAGCCAACAATCTTGATGTTCAAGACTCAAGCGCCATACATTAAATGGAACTGACCATCATAAATCATGTGAACCACTGTCCTTCTACAAAGTGGTCTTAAATACCCAACCACAAAACTAAAAAAGAAAAAAGTTTGGCCCTGGAACTTGGTGTTTATGGCCTCTAGAAAACTTTATTGTAAATTTGTGTACTCTTCATAGCATACATATGCATATAATTCTTGAATGGACGTATTTGCATGATGCTTTACAACCTTCACAAGGAGAAATGGAGCAAACTTGTCATTTTCATGGATTAAGCAGCACCCACATATTGGGATCGATTTAGCTAATTTGGAACCCTACTTCTTGGGAGATGATAAATGAAAGGCAGACAGGTTGAACCTCTTCATTAACCCCTTGCTGGCCCCGTGGGACCCGGACCACATAAAGCCGCCGCATACTATCCTTCATAAAGTGATTTTTATTGTGCTGTTAACATCATGTTATATATATGCAAATTTTTCAATTTCTGCAGAATTTTGAAGAAAATTAAAATGTATATTCCCAGGTAAGTTGTATGGTGCACCCCCCTCCCCCTCTCTCCGAACAGAAAATGGTATTTGTTCTATCGGCACTTGTATATGCTAAATCTGATATATAAACATAATTGCTTTTATACAGCAGCCAATGCAGCTGACTGGCATATTATTTCCATCTGTGTTTTGCCTTGTCCAAAACAACTATCCTTCGTTTTAAGGAAAACATATTTAAAGGGGAATTTTGCTTAAAGTGATTAGGAGTATTCATTAATTCTAAGATATGCTTGGCATGGGGGTTCTTTAAGGAAGAACTCTAGTCAGCATACAAATTCCCAAGTAAAGTGAATTTGCTATGATTTTTTTTTACATTGGGCACTTTTTCACACTAGCGGTGGAGTGCGGTACCCATTTGAGAGGCAGTGAGGAGGTATAATATCACCTCCTCACCACCTGATTTAACTGCATAATGGTGCACTACTGTGCAGAATTAGGGTGCATTGCGTTTGTCAAAAATGATGATGCCACAATGTAAATCATTGCAGCCATGTCTAACTGTGTAACTGTTATTTCACAGTTCAGATAGGCAGCCCGAAGTGGAAAAATCACAGCTCAGCTTCCCATTTTTTCACCCCCAACTACTGGTCTGAAAGAGACCTAAGAGCTGCAACAGTGCCTTTACTCAAGGTTGCTAACCATTTCCTTGCAACTGAAAACATTTTCTCTAAGAATATGAAAATGGGGGGGGGGGTATGCTTTTGGATGGAACTGCATTGTGTGTGAAGATCAGTCAGTGCTTGAAACATGCAGAAGAGGGGTGGTCCTAGGGTAGGGAATGTCATTGTCATGCTTTTTGGATGAATTATACAATAAATTAAGACTTTTTTGATATACCAATGTTCATTGACTTTTCTCTTTCTCTTTGCTTCTGATGGCCAGTTGGTGTTTGGAACACATGGAAGCAAGTTCACAAATCATGTTTACACTCGAACAATCAGTGATTTTGGTGCAGAGGAAGACCAAAAAAACTTTTCTGGACAATAAGCGACATTTTTTTTTCATTGGAAGAAAATATGCCTTCCTGATACTACAGAACATAACAGCCAGGAGAAGGGGACCAGCAAGCGTCCAATACCCCCAGATGAGTTGAACTGAGAAGACCCTACGACGGCCTGTACCTCCACAAAATTGGATAGGAATGATTTGCTGGAGGGTGAGTATAATGCTTGCTTTTTCCAAAGTAGCAATAAAATATAGAAATTAGAATTGATGGCAGTATCTCCTAAAATGAATCAGATTACTTGAAGAAGCTAATTGCAGCTTCTTACTAAACCCAGTCTCATTGTGGACTGGACAGATTTACTTGCTCCTAATTATGCCCTAGCCAAGACTCTCATTAAAGAACAGTTCCAGCACCAAGGAGAGCACAAGCACCAAGGAGCACTTGGAAAAAAAGCTGAGGCTCACTTGGTCTACATGTTCATCCTTTTGGAAACGTGAGGTTGCACTCACAGCTTCTCTGTAGATAACACAGAAGGCTCACGCAATCTGTTTCTCTATCCGGTGCAGGGGCGGACTGACAACTCATGGGGCCCCCGGGCAATAGGGGATCATGGGGCCCCTGTGTCCTTGCCCAAACTCAAAAAAGCCTATGAAAAAGGTACCAGGGGCATCTCATGGTGCCCCCTACTGACCCCCGGGCCCTCGGGCAGTGCCCGAGTTTTCAAATGGTTAGTCCGCCCCTGATCCGGTGGAGAATAGGACTTCAAACCTCATTAACCATAACAAAGCCCACAGAATGCCAAACCAGCATCCATCACTGCATCTGTCTCCTCATTCCAATAGCAATTTCAAACTCTGGTGCTCCTTGAAATCCATTGTTTGCATTTACCAGCCATATATTACATCTTCAGCCGCTAAGCAGAGCGACTTTAGTTTCATTTTCATGGCCTCCCACCAATGTGACCTTGTTTTCTACCTCAGGTCTGCAGATATACCCATATGGATAGCGTACCAATCTGAGGCAAAAGGATGTAGGGAAATTGGGAAAAATAGCGTGGAATAGGGTGTGGCAGTAACCTGACGACAAGCACACTGTTCTTATACACAGCATCCTGTAGTTCAGGTCAAAAAGGAGAGGGACGTATACTGATTACGTTGACCTGCTTCTGCGTTTGGCGTGGTCAGATTGCTACAGGAAGAAAAGTACACTGGCTGGATCACCAGGTGTTGGCTGCTGCTGATAATAGCAATTAAATTAATTATGGGAATGTAATTTTAAATATTTTAGGGTATACATAGACTTTGAATTAGCCAGCAAAGGATATCACCAGGGGCCTGTTTACAAAAACTGCAAGTTAAAATGGTTCATTTTACCATGCAGGATGTCCATTTTGCCAAGGGAGAGATAATGTGATATACTGTTTCAGTACATAGCACTGTTTATATTTTATTTGTGACTGCTTACCACCCATTTAATGCACATGTGGGCTTTTTACACCCACATGCTGCACATATATATTTAAGGGCAGCAGAGGTTTCTGTGCTGAGAGCGTTCAAACATGATTTCTTCATGTTTACTTGGAACAGTGCATGTGTCCTGAGCGTGCATTCACTGGAGATTTTGTGGGACAGTTTCCAAAGCAGTTGCTAGACAGTGGGAAAGGGGCAGTACAAGGTAGCTGGCCTAAGGGAGAAAAACCTTTGGAGACCAATTCACATTTGTGCACTGTGGCAATGTATGCTAAAAGTCGCATTGCCACAACACATGGCAGTGCATCTACTCTGTGTGCACTGCATCACAGTGCCATTCATTGTGATTGGTTCCCCAATGCATTGTACAGTAGAGCACAAAGTACCACGGGGAACCACAATGCATATCCTGTATGTTGTGGTACACTGCATTTTGAAAAAAGGGTCATGCATTTTTTTTTTAAATATCTTTTTATTAACTTTTTAACACATTGAGAACATATTCACAAAGACATAAAACATTGGTTCAAATGTATCCTACCCTCGCAGGAGTGGAGAATATCAATCACACATCCAAAGAAAATACAACAAGGCTGCATCAAAAGAAGCTCAGAGATGCCCACATGGTCGTCGCTACCAACCAAGAAATAAATGTATGAATATTAAGTGTCCCATACTAGTGTACATTAT